TCGTGGTACGGGTCGGAAACACGCAGCATCTCCAGGAGCTTCTCCCGGGTGTAGAAGATGGAGATCTCCTGGTTGAGGACGGACACGAGCAGAGGATGTCAGGGGGGCAGTTCAAAACAATCAAACACAAGTGTATTTATATAGCTACATATAAAAAAACACGTGTGTCAGTGGGCTTTACAGATCAACAGTTCATCTGTAAAGCCCACTGACAGGTGCTTTGTGATATCAGGATGTATAAAAGTGTATTAATTAAAGTTTCAGTTTTTTTTCAGCGTGAGGATGAGGTCCAGGAGTTTGCTGAGGGGTATAGGAGACTACGGTAATACCCTTTGATTAATGACCTTCAAGCCTATACTACAAAAAAGTAAATTTCTTCCAATCTAATACAGTTATGTGAAATCTGTTGACATAAAACATTCAATTAAAGCTTCAGTTTTCCCAGCGTGTGACCGTACCTGGTTGAGGATGAGGTCCAGGAGTTTGCTGATGGGGTATGAGACGGGGAAGGAGAGCACCATGAGGAGGCGCGTCACCCAGATGGTTTTGGAGGCGATGGCGAGGCCGTGTCGCGACGCCACCGAGTGCGGAAGAATCTCCCCGATGAAGAAGATCCCGAAGGCGCAGATGACCGTGGAGAGCCAGGTCATGCCCAGGATCTGACACATCCACACGGCCAGCGAGGCGTTGATGATGGCGGTGCCGAGCAGCAACGTGCACAGGACGTAGTTCCCGTGCCGGCGAACCGACTCGATCTTTCGGGCGTAGTTCTGCTCCTTGTCCGTGCCGCTGTTCTGAAGAACCTGCAGCTCCACCGGATCGAGAGCCAGCAGGCTGAGGTTCAGACCGCTGAAGAGGGCCGAGAGACCCAGCAGCAGGACCGACACCAGAACCTACAGGAATACAGATAATATGATGATAATAACTTTAATTTGATGCACACCAGGTCCAACAGTCACATCACAAGTTAAAACAAGAAATCCACTTCGGGTCACCACTTAATATAACAGTTGAAGGAACACACGTTAAATCTAATATGCAGGAATAAAGATAATATTATAATAATAATAAGCTTAATTTGTGTAGCCCCGTCACACGCCAGGTGCAGCTGAAATAAGTTTCACAACATGGTGACACATCACAAATGAACACAAGAAATCCACTTCAGGTCAGACGTTGAAACCCTTCAGCACACATGCAGAATAACCACATAATATAACAGTTGAAGGGACTCAAGTTAAATCTATGATTTGAGGAGAATGTGTGTGTTTTACGATGTTTTGATTATAGTTACATCTGTTGACTTTCTGGATTATTGTAAAACCCTCTGATTAATGACCTTCAGTCACTGTGCACATGATGTGAAAACCTGAGATACTAAGATCAATTATATAATGGATTAACCATCACTGCAATACAGAAGATTATAGCAGCGAAAATGAGTTTTCACAAACTTTAAAACCATTTTTTAAAATGTATTTATATTTGAATACTTCTCTTTTAATATTCACACAGCTTTCACCAACCTTTTTAGGCTTGTGACCCCTTAAAATAATGTGTACATTAAATCCTTTTATTGACTTATTGTATAGTTGCAATGTAATACTGTAATACTATATGTACAACTGAGACTGCACCTCAATTGACCTCTCTCTCTCTCACACACACACACACACACACACACACACACACACACACACACACACACACACACACACACACACACACACACACACACACACACACACAGACACACACACACACACACGCACACACACACACAGGCACAGACACACACACCCACACACACACACACACNACACTACATACTGATATACACCTGAACATCAGCAGGAGAGGACTCTTTAAAGTAGAGACACTACATACTGATATACACCTGAACATCAGCAGGAGAGGACTCTTTAAAGTAGAGACACTACATACTGATATACACCTGAACATAATAATGCACCTTTAAATAAATCAAACTAACCTGTGCCCTAGTTGGGTGAATAATAAATTATTTAGGACTCTAAACACTTGGACTGAACTTTGTCGGACTTGAAGTAAAATGTATCTTTGGGCTTGCAAAACAATATCTTTGTCCCACATCAGCTGTAACTTCTTCAAGTAGAGACGTTAAATAAGTGTATAATACACAAAATGACAGTGAACCATTTCCCGATCAGAGAATATCTGCAGATAAAAAGGTTCAATTTGCAAAAACTCGCCACTTTTGGCCCTTAAAACAATAGGTAAACTAACTATGGAGTGCAGTTTGACTTTCTAACCGTTGATACGCAGCTAGGTTTTTATCCCAGAGCTCCACTGCTGCAGGAGTGAACGAGGGAACCTGTGTTTGTTCTGCCGCAGTGCTTTAAAGTGTTATTACAGGACAGTCCGAGGGAAGGAGCAATAAACAGAGAGAAAGAGAAGCAAACGTGTTGTTTATAATCCTCCCGCCTGCGCAGATTATCTCCTCCAAATCCCTCTGCGTAGGAACACAGAAATCATGCTCGTCCTAAAACACTGATTGTATCTGCCTTCATACAACGTGCACCATAACACACACTAACACGCACATAGAGGGGGAAGTGAGAGGGATGTCTGATCAACCTGTGCACAGTTTGGAAATGCATCTTTGTGATTGTAAATCGAAAGATATTTCAAGGTCAAAAAATGCAAAATGGTCAATTCTAAGGCGAGGCATGTGTGGAAAATATGAATATTTCATGATATTCACAAGCAGTGGTTAAATAATATTAAGATGGCTGCCAAAATATAATGTATTTTCTTCCGTAAACAGGCTAAGAAAACATGCCCAGTGTCCAAACTAAAGATGATCGGCAGAAAATGTATTTTGATCATCAGTTAATCGTTCATTTTCACGCAAAACTGTCACAACATCATGTTTTAATGTGAATATACGAGCTGTTTGCTGTCTCCTGTAACACAGGCAGCTCAAGGTGTCCTTCTGTGTTTACCTCCATCTCTTCCTGTCCTCAACTCAAACCCAGCAGAAAGAAAAAAACAGAAGTGCTGACTCTGCAGGGTTTCTGAGCACGAGGAGGCAGGGACCAGCAGCGAGGCTTCTGATTGGCTGCTGAGCAACCCACCCATTCTATACTCTGCAGCTGATTCCTGCAAACAGTGCAACCTCTGCAGCAGCAGCTCTGCAGAACTGGACTTATGTGTGTCTGCAGGGGAGAGCAATGCAGACTTTAAGCTCTTCTGCGTGTTTACACAGAGACCCGTTCCCAATACACGCAGCCTTCAAAGAGCAGAGGTTAAGAAGTGTAGCTAAAGGGCATCTGTCTGTCTGTGTTTTATAGGAAGTCCAGGATATCAAACCAGCAGCTTTTAGGTCACAACCTCCTATAATCTTTACTATATATAAAAGTGTAATGACTTGTCTTCTGTAAACAGGGTATAAAAGCAGCGATCAGTCGACTAATCAATTTGTTGATCGTCCGAAAAACAATCATGATTATTTGTATCTGTTTTCTGGTCTGTTATCTACATGTCCTCACTCTAACACCTCCATTATCGGTCTGTCAAAAGGCTGGATGACAATCTGACGAATCGATCGACAGAGTCCTTATCTACTTTGACATCGAATCACCCTTAAAGTCACTTTTTATGCATAGATGTCAGAAAGGGCTGTTTTTAGACTTTTGAATGTGCAGATTTCTGGTTTTCTCCGTTTTTACATCATATTAATGTTCATGCAAAAGTGGCAGAACATACAGTTCAGATCCCGGAGAGGATGATTACAGATCGATGAGAAACAAAGATGGACGATTAAGGATGAAGATAAGATGAAAAGGCAGCTGCTCTACTCTGGACATGTTTTAGTATTTAGTAACCATAGTACCTAAACACCCATGAGATGGTACATGACAACATGAGTGTGAGAGTATAAAGTATCCCATAATGTATCCTACCATCAAGATCATGCCTGAGGTGTTCTATCAATAGCAACAACAACAACAACAATAAAGTCCCCAACCCACCACTTTCCAATGCCTGCAGAGACTAGACCTCATTTAACCTTACACACACACACACACACACACACACACACACACACACACACACACACACACACACACACACACACACACCTGCAGCCACAGCTCCGGGACAGCAGATCTCTCCACCACGGACACCCAGAAGTCTCTGGTCCGGTAATGTTCCCATTTGGATCCGTCAAACGCGCACATGGAGTAGAAGTTGATCTTCTCTCCTCTGCGCAGATCCTTCGCCAGCAGCTCCACTAACACCGAGTTCTGACTGGACGCGGACTTGAAGGACCCCAAAACCTCAATGTCGGACGTCCTGGAGTTCTTATCCATGCACATGTTCCTCTTCGGGTGGACTTGCCCCTCTCTGCCGGGGCTCGGCTCCTCGATGAAGGCGATCCAAGGCGCGGCGTTGTTTGCCCGGGTGGTCGCGGTGCGGTTCATCCTCTGCGGGGATGTGGAGTAATAAACCCGCAACATGAAGCGGGTCCCCTCGGTGACTTTCAGCACCCCGTCGGCCACGGACAGCTCCGCTCCGGTCTCCTCCGGGCGGAAGCCGAGGAGACCGTGCACCGGAGAGCATGAGGCGGTCAGGAGGAGAAGCAGGAGCCGGAGAGGAGAGAGCAAAGACCGGGGAGGAGAGAGCTGAGCCCCGCCGGGGAGCACCGCATCCTCCGCAGTCATGATGCGGTGTGACGGGAGGAGGATTCAGTCCACAGCGACCGGGTCACGTGGTGCTGCGTGGTTCCGGTCCATGTGGGAGGAGGAAGAGGAGGAGGAAGAGCAGCTCTCTGAAGGATGTTCTGCCTCCACCATGCCTGACGTAACTTTCCAAAAATAGCATGGAGCTCACTGCCATCAGACATGACTGTAATCCAGAGTGCATTCAAGATGCAAAGGCTGTCAGATGCACATCATACAGTGTAGATCTGGCAGTGAGAATCTGAAGTCCAAGGCTCCTCCAACAATGCAACAAAAATATGTGACATAAAACAATAAAACACATAATAATAATAAAATCGTGCAGGAAGAAACAGAGTGCAATAACAAAGTGCAAGATGATGTTGAAGACCAATGTGATGCAGATGAAGTCAACTATACTGTACATGTACAACAAATCCTCTATAATATATATTATATATATATAATCTAAATGCTGAACAAGTAAATGCAGGAAAATGAATATTTGTTTAATGAGTTGAATCAATCCTTTTTCTGATTAATAGTTTCAACTGCTTGCTTTATGGATTATTGTAAAACCCTTTGATTAATGACCTTCAAGCCTATAGCTGCACATGTGGGAAACCTGAGGATAAAGGATTGTAATGTTGTGTATGGACACCCACAATATATAAATATATATTTTCTATACTGTGTGTGTTTATTATGACTTTTGAGTATAATTTAACTCACGTTCCAATGCCTTGTAAACAGTGTAACAAAAAAGCGTTTCAAATCCAATCTGTGTTTTTATCCTGTCATCGGCTTCTCTTTATGATGTACAGATGCTGTCTATGGTCCTTGATCAAGAAGTGTGTGTGGTCCAAAGCATGTTTTCTAAATAGAGTTTTACTAATGTGTTTGACTTTCTTTCTAACTCATAACAACAACAACAACAACAACAACAACAACAACAACAAAACACTAGTAACTCAAAGGTGCTGTCTTTAAACTCTAAACATTTATTTTTGTAACTTAAACCAAGTTTCTCCACAAGAAATCACGCTAAAGCATCACTTAAAGTATTGTGTTTATTCATGATGAGCTCAGCATTTATTTGCAAGTAAGTTATTCCTCCTTTCAATGCTTAATAAATGACAAACTTACAAAACAAATCGAGGTCAACTAAGTAAGGGCAGCACTTGTAAGTGGTTCAGAAATGAGTCCTACATCGCTGACAAAAGAACAATGAATTTGACTCATTTGATGCACATCTCATTCCTAAACAATGTGAATGAGTCTGCTGCTGAAACACCACGCCTGGTTTCAGGCTTTTAAGAAAACAATCAGATCATCTGACTCCTCACGTAGGATGGCTGTGTCCTGAGAGAGAGCATTATGGGTAATAACTTGGTCGGCTACAGGAGCTTCTTCAGTGGTTTACCCATACTTGCCAACCTTGAGACCTCAGAAATCGGGAGCATTTCCAAATGCAAAATGGGGGGCGGGGTTCTAGTTTATCGCCGGAGCTGTTAGATTAACATTAACATGCTTATTGTAGTTCTAAGTGCAGCCTGTAGCACCATCCTTGATGGAGCATATGTGTGGGCAGGAAAGGAGTGAGCAGAGAGTAGAGTAGTTGTCGATTCTTGTTCTGTTTTCTGTGACTATCTGCCTCACCCTGTCAGACTTTCAGTTGCGCGCGCTACTAAAGAGACGTGTTACCATGGAAACCAAACAATGGTGTAGCTGTATTAAAGTCCGAGTGGAAACAGTCCTGAGTAAATCTGATTTTGTCAGAAATCGGGAGAAATATGACCCCGGGAGGAAACCGGGAGAGGGCAATGAAATCGGGAGTCTCCCGCGAAAATCGGGAGGGTTGACAAGTATGGGTTTAACTCTTACCACCATGAACCCACAAACAGCAGGAAATACCTTCTTCCTGTTTCAAGCTTCTGCACCATGTGACCTTATGACTCAAAATCAATGCAGAATATGTTACTACACACCTGTATCGATTTTAGTCCATCTTCACTTTTTAATTAACATTGTAATGACAGTTTCTCGGTGAAGTCTCATTTATTTTCAATAGCTTCAATGTCACGTGACCCAATGACTCAGCATTGTATTCTACATCGGAAGAATACAACACACCTGCTTTTCAATAAGAAACGGTATGACAACATTCATTTTGAAATAAAAAAGCACAACAATCCTATAGAAACTGCTGTTTCCTGCTTGCCCATGTTGTTATACAATGCTTCATTAATATGAGACTCTAACAAAAATGAAAAACAGCAGAGGTATCAACATAATACTCATGTTGATTAGAAGGTGCACTAAAATCCACTATAACAAAGGTGTGTCCAACTTGTCCAGGGTACAAAAACAATTCTGCATAGATTTCCTTGTCACTGCGTCACATTACATGAAAGCTATTGAAACAATAAAAATGGTCACTTAAATGTTAACAGTAAAATGTGCTCAGTGCATCTCATACAGAGTAAAGCAGTCTTAAACACTTTAGGAAGTGTGGATGGATCAGTTATTTATTCAATAAATGTGACTGCAGTTAAATTAATGTCCACATGGTGGCACCAGTGTAAAGGCTATGAGAGGCTGAGGAGGAGACTCACGTAAAAGAAACAGCAGATAATAACATGCCAGTTTACCTTTAAGTACATTTTGTAATACAATGCAGTATAATGCAGTTGTGTTACTTGTGCCAGAGTATTTTCACACTGCAGTATTTGTACCTGTTCTTAAATATCTGAGTACTTCTCCTACCAGTGGTTTGGTGTCCTGGCTGGGACAAGCTCTTGTTTGATGACCCCTTACTGTGGGCGGGGCTTCAACGTGTTGCAGGATATACTTTACATTACTAGCATTGTGCTGCTTCTAATCTCATGACAACATTTTTTAAAAGGTGACAGCAGCTAACAGTGTGAAATCAACAGTAAATAGTGCCTTTTGCCTTCTAACTCTGCAGCTTTTACGCAATACACGTGTCCGATTAAATCTGCTCGTGCACGGTTAAAGTCCAGTTGAGTCAGTTCCAAAAAGTTGCTCAGAAACCCAAATTCTGGTCAATATTTACAGAGGCAGGTTAGAGATTAACTCAGCTCGCTGCAGCAGCTGCTCACAGTCCCAGTTGCTCTCAGGTCAGTGTCTGCCTCAACATGCAGTGTGTCCGGGTGCTGAGAGAGCTGAGGCCGCTGTGCAGAGCTCAGCTGTCCGCGTGGACCGGGACCAGAACCGGAACCAGAACCCAGAGCCAGGCAGCCGGGACCAGGCTGGACCTGAGCGGGATCTATCCGCCCATTGCGACCCCTTTCACCGCAGAGGAGGAGGTGGACTACCCGAGGCTGGAGGGGAACCTGCAGAAGTATGCACAGATCCCGTTCAGAGGTCAGACCCGGGACATGTCCCCACTCCCCAACACTCTTTCGAATGGCTGGTTTTGTCCTTTTGCTTCATTACTTTGTTTAAAGTCTTTTCAAATAGCTTGCAGCCAAGACATGTTAACCAACCAATCAAAAAAGAAACTGTACAAGGTGTATTATGCAGTCATTATGCAATCATTTTGAATATTTCTTGATATAGTTTCTTGTTGTTTATCTGATCTTTGAAAATGTCTACTCGCATTGCCTACAATTGTATATGTTAAAACTGTTTTAAAATCTTCTGACCTCTATGTACCCACCAATAATGAACACATAATGACACCTTTGTGCCCAAGTATCAGAGAGCAAAAATAACAGAGAAAAGTCAGGTTTCTAAAAAGCTGTTTTTTAAAACGTTACATGAATAGGCGTTCAGGGGTCGTTAAGAAAGACCCGGATGGTCCATACACATAGGGCTTTTTATGTAAGTCATTCTAAAACATATTGTTGCATTCCTATTTTCAATCGTTCAAAGTCTTTGTTAAAGTAAAGAAACACACACACACACACACATTTTATATATTTAACATTTAGAATGAGAATTGTATTAACCAAAAAGTCATCTTTTGGAGTCCTTACATCATTTCTTTTTTAAACAAGTTTTGCAGTGTAACTCAGATAGCCTACACTTAAAGGTGGGGTATGTAATTTATTTCAGAAACACTTTTTGTTATATTCCATGGAATGCTCTTAACATCCCGATATGAATATACATACATAGCCTACATTTAATCTGTGGAAGCCGTGGCGCTGTGAAGAGCACGACCAATCATCTGAGCCGGCCCGGCTAAAGTAACTGGATGGCCTACCTGCCTGTCAGCCTTCCATCTGTGCACAAATTTATCTCGTGCCCTCATTGGTCATGTGTGCGTTCGTGTGTGTTGGAGGAGGGGCTCTGTAAGGAAGTGGCAGATTTGTCTAGCGCAGTCAAGCTGGTTTCTCCAAAATTACCTACCCCACCTTTAAGTATTTGCCTCTGTTATGTCAAATTTGACAAAGTACAAAGACTAACGGTGAGGAAGCAGTAATCCAGTGAATGTAAAACTCAGATGAAAGACTTTAGGAAAACATGAATTCAACTTTAGTCTTTGTTTAAACTCGTTACCCATCAGTAAGAAGCTGCGGGGTGTTCTCTGGTTGTCAGCTGGTTGTCAGGATCAGTTTAGGGAGCTGACAGAGAGCAGAAAGTTCAACATGGAGGAAAAAACGCAGAATCTGCTGCTGTTTGTCTCCATCTGGAGGATTTCTATCGCTAACACAACGAGGCTTTTTTTATTCAGACCTGAATTTATTGAGTTGTGTTATGTGTTGCTCTGTCTCTGGATTGGGAGCTTGTTGGTTGTTTGTGAAGCACTTTGTGTAAGTGTATGAACATGACTCTATAAATAAAGTGTGATTGATTGATTTATAAACAGTAGGCTACTTTGAAATTGAAACACTTAGTAGTTTTGCTCTTCATCTTTGTTCAGTGCTTTAGACATAGCCTAATTTTCCAGAAAGTGCAGTATCTAAATGACCTTCAATGTTATGTGATATCTACTGCTACTACTGTTATTTATTATCAACTACTATGATCCTTAAAGGTCACCTATTATGCAAAATCCACTTTTTCATGTCTCTTCTACATCAACATGTGTCCCCTCTTCTTCATGTCTCTTCTACATCAACATGTGTCCCCTCTTCTTCATGTCTCTTTTACATCAACATGTGTCCCCTCTGTGGAAAGAGATTCTGAAAGTTTCAGGAACAAAGATTCTCTCTCTTTTTGTCCTGATCCATTTCTATAAAAACCTGTCTGAAAATGAGCTGATCAGATTTTGGCCACTTTATGATGTCATAACGTTTTTTTTGGCTTGTGTAACCATTAGCCAATCA